CAACTAGACCCCAAAGATTATTTAGAATCAGGAAACTTTGACGTTGATGTACCCACCCTTTCGTAATGTGTTGACAACATGACAAGATTTGGATCACAGAAACAAACGCAGTATATGTATATATAGATATACACTTGTGCATCGTGTAATTAATGACACTTCTCCATCAGGGTTACAGAATATTACTAACTTAACTTAACTACTAGCTAGGATCGTTTTCTTGAGAACAAAACAGTAGTATATAATTCACAGTTTTGACCAACTGGTTTGCTGTAATTGGTGGATTAATCCTCCTTAGTAAAAAGGGAAAAGAATAGCACATATATATATATATATGTATATGTATAGGTTGACGAGGAGGGTTTTCTGCATTACTTTTTGGGTGGTTGGTTTTAACTTTTAAGACCCCTTTCCTCCACCCGAAGTTGAAAACTCTTGTAATAACTAAGACCCCCTAAGGGGTTTGTTTGGATAGTGAAATTATTCCAAACTATATTTCACTTGAATCATAAACGCATTTCTTAATTCATCTTTTTATATTTTCAACCAACTTTTTATCTCACATATATCACATCATGAAAAAAGTGTTACGGTAATTATTATAAATAATTCCTTAAATATTCGCCATTAGACTCTTTGAGTTCTTTAGTCTTTTTCGAAGTCACCAAACAAAACATGAAAAGTTCTGTTTGAACTACTTGTACTGCTCATTCAATAGATAGATTGTGAGCAGGGTTGCAATAAGAAATTTGAGTAGGGGAAAATAATACTCCATTGGAAAGGAATGCCCCATCAATCCATTGTCTCTTCTCTACTTGGCAACTGGCATGGCCTGTGAAACGTGGCACTTACAGTGGTACACGTGGCCGTCATGCAATCAACCAACATAGCAATATGGATCCAGATTTTCGGCCAGGTCGGAGCTATAGCGTGATGACCACCCCAAAACCTCTCGTTATTTTATTCTTAAATTCTGACTGCAATAAGACAAAATCAAACGGTAGAGATGGGCCAAGTTGGAAGATCTTCATGTCAGCTGATCTTGCCTACCGGACCCCCCCCCCTCCTCCCCCAATACTGTCGTCTTACAACATAGTCCCAACAAACTTTGCCGTTTGTACAGGTAGGTAATATGTATGACCCTGTGCAGCGTGCACCAATCACGCCTTCTGTTGGACCTTCCATCAATTCCAAAACCATCAATCCACTGCCATCTATGCAGGATCCATGTTTGATGCTAAAAAAGTTTAAGTGATTTCTTTTGATACTTGCAAAATATATTTACTGAGTTTATTGATACATACATACATATATATATATATGTGCGCGCGCGCGCTGTGTTCTTACGTAATTGTCGTGTACGTACGTAGGTGGGACGAGAAAACTTCAGCGGTGACGCCGGAGGAAGATGTGTTTTACTTGGTGGCATTGCTGAGGTCTGCATTGGACAATGGCGATGAGACACAGACGTTAGACTACTTGAGCGATCAGAACCGACGGATCCTAAGGTTCTGTGATGATGCGGGAATCAACGTCAAGCAGTACCTTCCTTATTACACCACGCAGCAGCAATGGAGGGACCACTTTGGCCATAAATGGGCCCAATTTTACCAAAGAAAATTGGAGTTCGACCCCAGACATATTTTGGCCACCGGCCAACGTATTTTTAAGCCTTCTTTCAATCCGACCTCAGCTTCATGGTGACCGCCACGATTGAGGAACGATAATAGCAGCAGCAGCACTCAGCAGCGAATTGATTAGATTAGATAAGCGACGTCTGAGAATTTCCCATATCTTATCTTTGTACAGATGGGCAAATAGTTAAAAAGAATCTTGGCAATTTTTGCCGGGTTAATCGCTTAATTGTATCAATTGATATATTTTTAGCAATACTATGATTACCAAATAGCACGCAGGATTATTAGACGTGAGGTCTTTTCTTTCCCTTTTTTTTTTTTTTCCTTGATGTAACGGTACTGTTTTTAAGGTTTTATAAGGTGGTAACAGTTAAGGGTGGGGTCTAATTGTCTGTTTCGCATATGTAAATGTTATTCTCCCGTGACGATCGTTATAATGACGAAACAGTTTTTACCTGAGATTACATGTTATCACACTTTTAACGACCATTTGATTACTTCTTAGACCCATCCACTTGAATAGAATAATGTCTAAAAACTTGGTAGTAAGTTTCTCATTTAAAATAGTAAGTTAACATAGTAAATTAGTAACTTTTATGTCTCACAAAATAAATTGAAATAAATATAAAAATTACTTTTTAAATAAATAAATCACTACTTTTATCTTCCATACTTACCTTTTATAGAGTAGGTTTGGTTCAAATAATAGTAATTTTTCCAGATAAATAGTAAATCTTACCGATAACATGGTAAATTTGATCATTATGCGTTTTCTATCTATCCATGTTATCGGTAAGATTTACTATTTATCTGGAAAAATTACTATTATTTGTCTTTTTGTCTAGATTCTTGTTGGTCTTTTGAGTTTTTGTCCCTACCTATATCACCAGATCCATTCAACACGTAATTTGCTTTTTTCTTAATTAACAATTTGCTTATTAAGTTTTTTGATCAAGAAATTTGATGGATTGGTGTTTAGCATACTTGTTAGGATTGGTCATATGATGCATTTAAGAAGAACTATATGCTATACTTCTAAAATGCTGCTCTTCCCCGTATACCTACGTAAATTCGTGAGCTTCTCCTTGATGGTAATGAAATAGAAAAGACGGAGGATCAGCATTTTAAATTTCTTGGATGATTGTGATGGAGACTAATATTTACCCTAGTCTTTTACAATCATTACCAATTCCTACTCATGCATGATCCCACATTGGCATGGACTTCATTGAAAAACTACCCTTATATGGAGGTTTTGAGACAATACTCGCGGTGGTACGGTGCACGGGCTGACTAAAGTTTGGCCATGTCATACCCTTGACCTATCGTTTCTCAACATTGCAGGTGGCACAAACATTCTTAGACAACATCTACAAACTCCATGGATTACCAGAATTTATCATCACTGACAGGGATAAACCAATGTTTGGAGTCCTTTCTCCAATGTATGACAGGAGACGTACGTTTTCAGTGGAGCAAATAGCTCAGTTTAGCGGAATGGTGGTACAATTCCTCATTCCATGCTAGCTTGAAATCTTCACCATTTGAGGCACTTTATGGCTACAAAACCTTTGCCATTGCCCACGAGACCTCGCTTTGATACCATTATACCAACAGCTGACACACTAGTACAAGATAAGATTCACATGCTTCAAACCATTAAAGAACACTTGGCCAAAGCTCAAAACAAGATAAAGATTTTGGCTGGTAAACATAGAATTCAGAGGCAGTTTTCTGTTAGAGACTAGGCATATTTAAAACTACAACCTTATAGGCAACAAATAGTGTGGCATTAAGGAAGAGTTTTAAGCTAATTGCAAAATATTTTGGCCCTTTTTAGATTGGAGAAATGATCAGTGCAGTAGCTTACAAGTTCTAACTACCTGCTGGAGTAAGAATTCACCCCATCTTCCACGTATCCCTCTTGAAGAAAAAAGTTGGGGCCATAGATGAATGTCACACCTAACCTGCTGTAACTTGACTCTAATGATCAGCGTGTTAGAACTAGCTGCAATCCTCAAACGCAGGGTCATTATGAGGAATCAATAGCCAGTCATCCAATATCTGATTAAATGGCACCAATTAAGTGATGAAGAATCCTTTGAATTGCTATTTTTTGATTTGATGTATATAAGATAAAAAGTTAATTGAAAAATGTGTTTACGAGAAATGTAAAATTTTTTTTAAAAAAAAAATGCCTTTCCAAACAAGGCCTAAAACTTTTATTGAAAAACAGTTTCCTCAGTTTCAGCCTCAAGGACAAGGCCCTTTTCACTGGCAATGAGGAATTTGTCATGCATAGAAGGACATTATAGCAAATATTATGAATTAATGGCCTTAATGGTAAATAAATAGAGTTAGTAACTATCAGAAGAGTTATGTTCCGTTTGATAAAACTAAATTTGAATTTTGAAATTTAGACATTGAAACAATTAATTTGCTGAATTTTAAACACCAAAAAGAAATATATGAATGTCTAAATTTTAATATTCAATTTATTTATACTATTTGATGAACATTTATGAGTGAAGGATTAATAAGTTAAATTGTACAATTTTGCCCTTCTATCTTTTCATCTAAAAACGAAATAGAACCTATGATTTAATTAATTTAAAATTGTTAGGTATGAAAATGATAATATTTATTTTAAAATCAAATTAATATAAAAAATGAAGTATATTATACGAGGAGTATGGAGAAAACGTGAAAGTCGTTAGATAGGGAGAAAAGATAAGTAGAAAATCGTTAGACCTGATAATATAAGGTTGTTTAATTAGATAAGAATTTTGAATATAAAATATCAGATTATTTAATTAAATAAGAATTTTGAATATAATTAACAATTAAGGGTAGATTTGATAGATAATATACGGTAATTGAAGTAAATCCATTGATTCTTATCAGGATTCAAGATTCAGTTATGATTTTTGTACTGAACAAAATACACACAAGTTCAGGATCACTTAACAAATTTAAATCAAATACACAAAATATTTGAATGTCTAAAAAAGTTCAATTTCAGAAATTTTTTTATATTGTCAAATAGACCCTTAGTTAGAAATATTGAGATTCAATTAGTCAGTGAAAAATTACTGAGACTTAATGTCCACCAAAAAGAAACCAAATTTCTCTTTGAACTATAGGTCGGAATTCAAAAAAGGTATCAGAGCACCCTTTAGCCTAGTTAGATTTTTATATATACTAACCCCTCGTGCACATCTCTCTAGTCTAACTTCCCGGTAGAGTATTGTAGATTAGGTTAAACTTGAAGAAAAAGACGAGCAGCTCAGACGAATTTTACCGGCCACCGGCCAAACTTGAAGAGTAAGACAACTCCGTAATTCTGTCTCTTTCTATTCTCTCTCCCTCTCAATTTCCCGCTCTTTTCATTTCAGTTCTTATTCTCATTTCTTCTAACTGCAACTCGGTCACGAACTTGAGTTCTTGACAGCACATTCACCAAAAAATGACTTAGCACATTAATTTGTGCTTGACGACGCTCTTCTGCTTGTCAATTTAACGAAGCCCTTTCCTCCCTCCTTAGTCCAGTGAGAGTAGCGACGAGAAGGTTCTTTACAAAACGAGAATACAATACAAAACGAGAGAAACAATACAAAACGAAAAACTAGAAAAAAAATGTCCTCGGAGAAGTTCTCGGCTACACTGAGTATAGGGGATCTGAATGATTATATAGCACCATCTCAGGGATGCGTTGTTTCGTTCAAGGCTAATTCCAATTCTAATCCCAAGCCTTCTACTTCCTCCTGCTCTTCCAGGCTCGATAAATCTTATGCTGGGGTGAATTACTTCTTTTTCCTCGACCTTTTTTTTTCCATTTTTTGGTTGATTTCTGGATAATCATACATCAGTGTTATGATACGGATTTTAATTTCAGCTCCTAAATTTTTTAAACTGTAAAGTAGTCATTATCTTCTTCCAGCTATCTTAGTTAATCTCAATTTTTTTAAAAATTCCCAACGAAGGAATTTGCTGATTGCTGGTCTGGTTATTCTGGGGGTTTTTGGTCTAGTAATTATGAAGGAGCAATTTTTTCCTTGTTTTCTACCAGAACATACGTTTACTTAAATGGTGAGTTTGTGAAATCGATATTAAATGAAAAGAGGCATATCTTCTTACATGATTATCGGAATTTCACCTTCGTTTTGTCTAATTCTTTGTAATCTTTGTTAATGGGCAGAACTCTGCTAAACTTGGGTCAGCTATCAAACCATTGGAAACTGAACCTGTAAAAATTTCACTCAATGACTGTCTAGCTTGCAGGTATTATTTCTTTCTCCACCTTCATCGGTCCTCTCTCCTTTCATCATTTGAACTCTATTTTTAAATTACAGATAGCTATAGCAAGTGGCCATACCTTTATATTCTTGTTTGCTTCATCTTAAAGCAAATCTGGTATTAATGTCTTACGTTTTCAACAATGCATATAATTTTTACATTGCTGAATGAGAATATATACGGTAACGATTTCATAGTAATAAATGCCTGTTTAAGGATAATGATGGTGCAGATTCTGACGGTCATCATTGTGGATATAGAACAGCTGTTCATTACTGTTTCTAGCTGTTGAGGTGACATTTTGACACGTTAGTCTAGACGTTGAAAGAGCTCAAGTAGAATTGTGGTGACTCGTACATATATAGATCCATATTTTGGACTGACAACAATGCTGAGTTTTCGTCTTTTACCTTTATTTTCAAGGCTGATTTCTGCATTGGTATTTCTCTGACTATCAGTTTCATAACATGAGTTGCTTATCACTCCATTACTCTATTAGGTTTAACAGTTATAATACACAAACTATTGAAATGAAAAAGTGGTCAGGAACTCATTATGAGGTTCACAACATGAGTTACTTATTACTTCATTACTCTATTAGGTTTGACATGCATCGGACATGAAATGTTGAAACAAAAAAATTGGTCAGGAACTCATTATGTGCATGGTGATCTTTGCAGTGGGTGCATAACCTCGTCCAAGACTGTGATGCTTGAGAAGAAGAGCTTAGATGAATTTCTTTCTAATATCAATAAAGGAAAGGCTGTCATTGTCTCTGTGTCTCCCCAGTCTAGAGCTTCTCTTGGTGTTGCCTTTGGCCTTTCTCCGCTTCAGGCAAGTTTATTTTCATACGTAGTGTTATGGATAGCAAACTAAATGAGCTTTTCATGTTGCATTTTAATCTTATAATGGCTTTATATGCCTATGACAATCCTTGCGTTTCAATCCAGGTTTTCAAAAAGCTGACGACGTTATTTAAGGCGTTGGGAGTGAAAGCTGTTTTTGATACCAGCTGCAGCAGAGACTTGACACTTATTGAATCTTGTTATGAATTCATAACTAGATATAGACAATGTCATTCTACTACTGATAAGAAATCCAAATTGGGCCTACCCTTGATTTCTTCTGCCTGTCCAGGTATACCTAACATCCTATTCCTTATTGACTTTTATTCTTGTTACCAGCCAAGAAACCTTGATATTTATAGTTTTACTGAGGATCAACATGTAAACAGCTTTTAGTGGAGCTACTGTTTTGCCGTTTTGCATTCTTTTTCTTTGTTGTATTCTTCTCATTGGCCTGGCTATTTAAGTGCCTGCTCGACTCTTTTATGTGTTTGTTATATGATTGTGATTGTTCATTCTTTAAATGCAGCTTGGATAAACTATGCTGAAAAAAATCTTGGGTCATATATTTTGCCTAATATTTCATCAGTCAAGAGCCCTCAACAAATCATTGGAGCTATTATTAAGAACCACATCTGTCAGATGCTGTACCAAAGGTAATATACCATACGAGTGCCGAAGTCTATGACCATTCTTTGTCCTGATTATTTACACCTTTTGGCACTTAAATCTTGGACTAGTTACTTGACCATTGCTATGATGCTGAGAGCTGAGCTCTGTTTAAGAGAAGTTCAGGATATATGGGGATAAGATAGTAAATAGTGCCATCAATATATATTATTGCGAGTACTTACTCCTTGTGTGCTTGAAATGTGGAACAGTGGAATAGTCACTTTACTATTGCTACGAAGCTTCTGATTCAGCTCCTTTTAATACAACTTCAGGATAAATAGTACCATCACTTCCTTCCCAGATTAGAACTTCACATTTAGAGGTCCTAACGTAATGGTGTATTGATGGTCTAATTACATATTTGTAAGCGGTCTGCAAGAAACTGCACTGGTCCTTTTTTGTGCCTTTTGCTTGTTGACTCTTTCGAGTTTGAGAGTGGTTACTGGAGCTAGCAAGTTGTTCTTCTTGTTCAGGACAGGCAAACAAGTAAACTAGTTGCTTGGTTGCCGTATATGTATGCTGTTTACCCATTTGGTGTTCATCTGCATGAAGGAATCACTGATGTTGATACTGGATGCACGGAGATTATATCCCAGTACTTTATTACATGGATTAAATTTCACTGTTGACAGTGATTTGTTCATGACAGGCCGGAGGATATATACCATGTAACAGTGATGCCATGTTATGACAAAAAACTCGAGGCTGTTAGGGATGCCTTTGTATTTCAACTTGATGCACAAGGTGAAAAGATCGTGGAGGTGGATTCAGTGTTAACGACAGTAGAGTTGTTAGATCTGATAAAGGTAATTTTTGATTTCTTTAAATGGTAAAATGGGCTAGCGCCAAGGGAGAATATATACTTTTCTAAGATCGAATTCAGTCCTGTGGTTGATGGCATTGTTTATTATTTGGAAGCATGGTCCCTTCCCCACTTTCTCCATCCTCCATCACTTTATCAAAAACATTTCTTCAAGCATTTGTGCTTTTGTGGCTTTTTTCTCCTGGAAAGTGGGTTGTTGCGGATGTTTGGACATTTATTGACATGCTTCCTGAATTTGATTTTTTGCAGTCAAAGTCAGTTGATTTTGCAAGCTTAGAAGAGTTGCCGCTAGACAACTTGTAAGAAAACTTGTCACTTTTTTCAATTTCTCTTGTTCTGCAAGAGCAACCGTTGACAATACTAGTTTTCACTTCCTACAGGTTAACGAATCTTGATGACGGCAACCTCCTTTATGGCGTCCGTGGAAGCTCTGGAGGATATGCGGAGACAATATTTCGTTATGCTGCTAAAAATCTTTTTGGCAAGGAAATTGTTGGTCCTCTCAACTTCAAGACTATAAGAAATCCTAATTTCCAAGAAGTGACACTTGAAGTAAGTCTGTCCATTTGTCATATTTGCTCTATCAACTCACAAGAATGGGAAGACTGGGTCCTTTCTAATATTTAAATGTCTAGTGGACTTGTAGCTGTGCATGGGTATCTGGAGTCTCACCATCCTATCAGGAACTAAATTGATTGACACCTCCTTAGACAGCTGACCATTCCTTGTGAACCGCATCTCTTGTTGAGTTAGCATCCATTTGTATGGAGATACTTAAAGTTCTTCCATGATCTCAAATATACATGTATCTAGTTTTGGCTGGCACTGAATTGCATGATAGCTGCTTCAAATTGTAATTTATACTATCAACAAATTACTAATGATGATTACTCTTCTGGACATTAGATGGCCTTGTAAGTTCCAAAACTTGATCTACATTAAGTTGTAATTTTTGCTCATGTTAATCTGCAGGTAGAAGGAGAGACCGTCTTGAAGTTTGCTCTCTGTTATGGTTTGCAAAACCTGATACAGGTTGTTAAGAAAATTGATTCTGGAGAATGTGAATATCAGTTTTTGGAGATCATGGCTTGTCCCTCAGGTAGATGTGTTCTTAAGCTGCTCGTTTGCAAGTCATATTAATTGATTTGTGCTATAGCATATTAAAAAATTTATGTGATATTGTGTCTTTTCCACTAGCAGGATGCCTAAATGGTGGAGGTCAAATCAAGCGTAAGCCTGGTGAATCTGTCCAGTCGTTGGAATTGAAATATCTGGAAAATGTAAGTCCAGGATTCAGACTTTGTACTCTCTGATTTCAATCTCTCTATTCTGTTTTGGCTTGGAAGTCCATCCCCCATTTAACACACACAGAAAAAGAAATTTATCTCCATGGCATGCTTAGAGGACCATGTGCTCTCTCTTTGAACTCGGCGGATGAGAGCAAAAGATGAATTCAACTTTCTGTACAGCATGACCGGTTAATTGACCTTCCCCCACTGATGCCCGTGGTTTATAGAGAGCTCCACCATTTTCCTATTTATGTCTGCCATCTACCTTACGATTTCTTGGTAGAGTAGTCAAACTGTTATTCATCCAATATTTTATACATATTGTCAATGTGGAAGGTATGTTGTATTAGCATGTCCAGTATTATGTGCACTAGTGGTGGGGAATGTTCATGCTTTCTGCTCCTCTTGCTGTTTAATAAGGGTTCAAGCAACTGGTAAATTTTTTTGGTTAGGTTATTGAGGCTGACCCTTTTGAAAATCCCATCATTAAAGGATTATATACTGAATGGCTTGATCAACCTGGTTCAGAGAAAGCAACTAAATACATGCATACAGAATACCACCCTAGAGTGAAAAGCAGAACTTCTCAGTTGCAGGACTGGTGAGCCAACAGCTTTGACGAGCGTCTGATGATCTCAACTACAATTCTGGTGAACCACTCTTCAAGCACATGTTCTAGTTTCTTCGTGTGGCTGTTTCTTTTGTTGATGTTTGTCTCCTTTCGTACCAAATCATATCATCTATGACCATCACATGTATCCTTTTTATTTAATATCCAGTAATGAAAGAAGATCGAAAATGATGGAGCATCCAGAGCCATCACTTTTGCCTTTGGGTTGACAAGAGGCCGGCTTGTACCACACCTAGAGCTGGCAAACTAGACCCTCCTTGGCCTTTAAACTAATCAAGTATAGCATTCACGGACCACCCACTCAAAACCACAATTTATACTTGTTCTTTCTATCTATAATATGATGCTCAAAACCAACCCCAAAAAAAAAAAAATCATATTAATCGAAGTCGCCCTTACCCAATTTATAACGGGCCCATAAGCGATGGATCCTATGTAGACCCAAAAGAAAAGCCATACCCACAATTGCGCTGACGTTTGTTCCAGCTTTCCCATCATGTTTAGGAAAAGAGAGAAGCATTTTAATTTTATGCTGTCAATTTTTTCTAGGGTCCGGTCGTAATAATGGAGCCATTATTGTTATTGTTTTCCCTTCTGGATTTCCAATAAAGGGCGAATAAATCTGAAGTCAGAAGAAGAATAAATAAAGCACTGGAATATATTACCCTTATCCATCATTTTTTGACTTGTGAGAATTTTAAATCTGATGCTCCAACTTGACAAATATAAAACATTATTGAATCAGCTGTCCATTTTCATTCACTCTCTCTCTCTCTCTCCCTTTTTTTTTTTTTTTTGTTTTGTAAGATTCCCATTTGTTCGATCTTATCAGCGGAGAGTTGATCATCTCGCGAAATTATTCCAGTTTTGGTTCACTCATTTCCTAAACACCGGAAATCTTTCGTTTCTATCTCTTCAGCAGAAGTTATGAAACAATCAAATCATTCACGGTTTTGATGCACGGGATTATTTTGACATTAAAAGACATTTCTTTATTACTTACTTTTCCCGTATATTAGCAGACATTGGATAGTGGATTTTGAATAAGGTCATTTATATAAATTTTTTTGTTGGTTTACTTTTCTGTCTCATTGGCCCAATGGCATATTGCTATACAGTAAGGATTCGAACTCAAGACTAATGTCCTGAGGCCTCAACCAGTTTTGTTTTTTTTTTTTTTGGTCTAAATTAAGCACTCCAAATTCTGTGAGTTTTAAAAAAAGAAGAGAAAATTGTCAGTAATATATAAGGATCTAATTATGGAAGTTTAGATTCTGTTTCGACTGCTACTTTTTGGGAGAAAATTCTTCATTTTTTATGAATATTTATTTTACATACTATTTTTCAATCAACATTTTACTTCACATATATTATATTTTAAGAAGCATCACAATAATTTTCTCCAAAATTTCTTTAGAAATCGCAATCCACACAACCTCTTGTATTCTTCTTGTATTCTTGCAAGAGACTAGAGGCAACCCTCCTCGCGCTCACATGACAGTAAGGTAGGGAGTTTAGGATAGAAAAGAGAAGAAGGGAAAACTTAAGTCACGAGAGAAGAGAAGAGAAAGGATTGTTATGTTGTTTGGGAGTTTTGAAAATTAATAAAATATTTTTGGATATGAAAGTCATTAAATATTTATTCAAGACATTTTTAAGAACAAAATAGGTATATTAAAAAGTTTTCACAAGTTTCTTCCAACTTTCTCTCCATTTCTCTCTAATTTGGGAGGAAAAATTTTGCGTACTATTCGTCCTCTCAAATCCTTCGATTTCCCTTCTTTTCTTTCATATTAAAAACTAACAAATAAAGGAAAAGTTAACTTTCTCTTCTTTTCTGCCCAAACAAACTTTAAACGGGCAAAACTGAAATTTTCAAAGTAAAAATTTATTCCCCACTAAAAAAAAAAAAAAAAAAGGGCGTTCCAGACCAGTTAAAAGTTGAGCATGATCTCGCCCCTCCCCAGTAGACAGTCTCGCTAACACATGCGCCCACTCACCCATCCCACTCTCTCTCAATAGACTTTTTCTCTCTGCATTGGGGAAAAAAAAAAAATATCGGACGCCATGAGTAGCTCTTCTCCTTCTTCCCGTAAGGTAAAACCTATTCCTGTACATGCATAAGAACGTTAGTTTTCAAATTTTTGTTTTTGGTTAAAACTGTTGATTATGTTATCTAAATATTTGGGAGATTTTAATTGGGGGTTTTAAAATGAGGCCTAGGGTTTGAGCAAGATCGCATGCAACCGCCTACAGAAGGAGCTGGTGGAGTGGCAGGTGAATCCCCCGGCTGGATTTAAGCACAAAGTTACTGATAATTTACAAAGGTTCTTTCTTTTCTTTTTCCTTTTCCCCCTTGTCCTCAGAACCATTGCTCAGAATTTCGAAATGAATGTATAAATGATGATGGGGTTGGAGTACAGGTGGATAATTGAAGTCAACGGTGCACCGGGAACGCTTTATGCTAATGAGACTTATCAGCTTCAGGTTGATTTCCCCGAGCATTACCCTATGGAAGCCCCTCAGGTTAAATGCAAGTCCCTTTTTTTTTAATGTTTTAATTTTCAAAAAATTTCTGAGGGAAATTTTGTTTCGGGCTTTTATGATGTGGGTTTTGTTGGGCTTTTGATTTTATAAGAAATTATGGGATTTTGCTGCTTTTAATAGCTTTTGCGTGGTGGTTCAGTTTTTAAGTAGCATTCTCATATTTGTCAATATTATTATTTTTGGTTTGGGATTGTTGAGCAGGTTATTTTTCTTTCTCCGGCTCCACTGCACCCTCATATTTATAGCAACGGACATATCTGTTTAGGTTTGTATCGTTACTCCTTTTGCTTACTTTCATTGGCACTTATGTTCAACGTTGATTGTCGTCTTCTGCCCTCTTAGATTCCTTTTCCCTTCTTGGTTAAACGATGATGATGCAGTGAATTGTTTCAGAATAGAAGAGAAAATTGAAGGATACTAATTTCATGAAATGGCTTTGGTTTGTTGTTACATGTATTACTGCTTTTTCATCAAGAAAGAGGGAATATATTTCTAAGCTATAGAGTACATGTTAGTGATTGAAATGAATAAACTTCCCTCTATAGGTTTATCTTATAATGTTAAAATTGGATGGGTTATGAAGCCAAAGATAGATTTTCTGTGGATTTTACGTTCAGAGACATTAGGGTAAAGTTGTTGGCTACTTTGGTTTAAAGAATGTTGGATTTACTTTCCTTGGACCATTGGGAAAGTTATTGGAGTTTCATATATGTGAAGAATGTCATACATTTGATGTTAGCTAGATGTCTTACATTCCTTGGACATTTTGGAAAGTTTTGGTTCTCATTCTAAGTCCCGAGGGTTATATATTTGATGATTTGGGGTAAAAGTTTGATGTTTGTGGTGCTTGCATCTGGAGGCGTTTTGTTTCCCTGGTCTGTGGTTGTAATTAGCTACGGGATGATACATTTGCCTGAAGAATGGTGTACACTTGTGTTTATTCATCGTCTAGCAATGTGCTTATGGTCCTGCCCAGAGTTTCTAAGTTTTGAACAAGATGAGTTGGCATGGATGTTTGTCATGCAAATCTCTCTCAATCATGCTGAACTGCAAATCAATTGAACATTATCTAACTTTGTTATTGATATAGCAGTGGCTTGAAGGCAGTTTAGTGCAGGACTCGTTTTAATTTTATATATATATATATATATCTTGTTTGCTCTGTTTAGTTATTATCTTTACCCACAGATAAACAGACTGTTAACCATAATTATACCATATTGGGTATAAATGATTACAAAACTCAGATTTCAGAATGGAAGGATGAAAATTTAGGTTCAGATTGGAAGGATAAAAAACTGAGCTTCAGATTGGAAAGATGAATTAGTAATTTTGTAGTTATGCTTCTGCATGTGTTAATATTAGTCTTCTATGCAATTCAATCATGGTACTTCAGAATAAAAAATACTAGTTAAACTCTTGCTGCTTCTCATATCATGGTTGTGACGGTGGCAGACATTTTGTATGACTCCTGGTCCCCAGCAATGACTGTCAGTTCGATTTGCATCAGCATTCTTTCCATGTTATCAAGCTCTACTGTAAAGGTGTGTTTGGTCTGACGTTTTCTGCTGTGCTTCCTTTATCAATATGCTTGAGCAGTGCTCCTTTTAGTGAAATTTTTTTCTCTCACAAGGTTTTTCCTTTGCAGCAACGCCCAGCGGATAATGATCGCTATGTGAAGAATTGTAGAAATGGCAGATCTCCAAAGGAGACACGATGGTGGTTCCATGATGATAAGGTGTAATGACCCATTGTTACTGATTGCTGTTAAGACCTCTAACACTACCTTATCCATGTTTGGGTCCAAAAAGTTTACGTTTCTTTCCTGGTCGATGGATTAGGAAGGTCGAGGACTTTCTAAAACTTTTAGAAAAGGAACCCTGTATTGGAATGCCCTAGTTGGTTTCCGGGCTATGTTAAGTCTAAGCAAATATATAAAAGCTGCTGTAAGGTGGCGATCTTTGGTGTATGCTGTATAGCTGTATTAATATTATTAATTGGCTGTGTGAATCGGAACCCAGCTGCTGTTGTTACGTTGCCTTGGGAGCTAGGAACGTCAAGTCTGAAGATGTGCTCGCCCTCGCCCTTCTCTACGCCTTTCAAATAGTGTGTTACAAATATCACACCTTTAAAAAAAAAAAAAAAAAACCCAAACGGCATCTTGACATGGCTGATTTATGTTTGGTGTTGAGCGATGGTGCTTGCAGAAATCATCTAGAGCCGAAGGCATGTGCTTCCGTGGAGTACATTCAGATGATGTCTTGTGTGGATTTGGCTTGTTACAAGGTGATGGCACACCTTGATACGCTCTATCTTGATTGAAATTGAAGAGTTTCCTCGGCAAGCTTAGCTTCATTGCACAGACTAGAGAGCTGTGTCTCTGCAAACTAATAGCGCAACTAACACAGCCGCAGTAAGAGTGTCATAATGCAGAAGAGGAGTAGGGAGCGTCAAACTTGGTCAAGGTTGGATGTCCTATTTCTCAGTAATTATCTCGAGAGGATAAAAATTGAAAGTTAAACAATACTGAAATCAGTACTGCTGTTCCTGCAGTTCTCGGATGTAATCTTCAGCTAAATGGATACAAAAAAAAGGGAAAAAACTGAAGCATGAATGAATGATCAAGAGAATATTTTCGTGAG